GTATAATTTTGTATCGTTGAAGCCAATCTAAAATATAAAAGAAAAGATTATTATTTGATTCAATAAATTGAATGATTTTTACTTGGAAAATCATTCATATATATATGTTAAAAATCGATATTTTATTTTTTTTTTCGTCAGAGAGTGATGAAAAGACGATAATAATTAAGCTATCATCAACATATACACATACATTGAGATAAATTCAATCACAAATCAGAGATGTCCATCGCGGCTGAAAGTCTGCCGCTGCCGCGCCGCGGCCTTAGAAAAAAAAAGCTGCCGCACCGCAGCCGCGCCGCGACGGTTTATAAAAAAATGTTGCCGCGGCGCTGCCGCGCCGCGATGGCTTATAAAAAAAACGTTGCCGCGCCGCTGCCGCGATGAATTATAAAATAAACGTGCCGCCGCCGTGCCGCTGCCGCGGCGGTTTACAAAAAAGTGTTTCTAATTTCACTGCTGCGACTATATTTGACCAGAAATATTGGTACTAGACCATCAGATTCATTCAGTCTCGGGGTGTTTCATTTGTAAACCCTGAAATTCTATTAAATTCATGCAGTTTTTCAATGTTCCCCAAAAAAATCCTGCCGCTGCCGCGATGGTCTTTTAAAAAACCTGCCGCTACCGCGCCGCTGCCGCGATGATTTTTAAAAAATCTACCGCTACCGCGCCGCTGCCGCGGTGATTTTTTAAAAAACCTGCCGCTGCCGCTGCCGCCACAGACCATCGCGGCAGCGCCGCGATGGACATCTCTGTCACAAATATCTCAATGTATGTGTATGGGATAATGCTTAATTGATATACACATGGATTATGTCATATTATCATTGATCATCAATGATAACCTGAACAAGGACGACTTACGGACGAGAGAAGAAAAGAAAAAAAGATGTTGTCATGACCTATATTATTTTTTCATTCTTCTCTTGCTTCCATATTCAGTTGTGAGCACGAAACAGACGAGCACACAATATTCAAGTTTGTTCATATCATTCACTTCTTTTTTGTTCTGTTCGATAGATCAACTTTGGGATATGAATAAACAGTTTATTTTATTTTAGTTCAATTAAAATGAAATCATTGAAAAATGATTGATATTGAATTTTAACAGTTCATTACAACATTAAATTTATTTGCTGCTGGTAAGATTCTTTTCATTTTCAAAAACTAAAAGTAAAATAAAACATCTGTTTGCTAGGTCATGATAATCAAATATTCACGACAATTGGAAATTAGAACATCAAAAGGTGTTCCTCTTATATAATTACAAAGGTAAATTTTTTAAAATAAATTAATTGTTTTATTTTATTTGAAAATACTGTGAATGGTCCACGTTCGAAAGATGCTGATGAATCAAGAAATTCAATATAAAACTCTGGATGATATGATTTATTCGAATTCAATGTTAGGATTTTAAAAAGGTGTAACATTTCAAAAAGAGAAAGATATTTTATCTAAATTGTTCGATATTTTAAATGTATATTCTTCTTTTCTAGTATGTGAAGGTCGTTGTTCATCTGATTTAAATGCCATACGGGTTCCTTTAAATCTTTTTTATGGATTTTAATACAACATAAAAAAAAATTTAATTAACAGATTGTAATGAAATTTTTTATGCTGATAGAGGTCTTGATTAATTCGTGAAAATGATCATATTAATATATATGATGCTTAACAAAAATGTTCATTAGCAAGTGTAAGAAAAGGCAAAGTTAAATATACAATGTGGTCAAATGATACGAATTACTTATCATTATTAGGATGAGTCAGGTGTTTTTCTTCATACAACATTAAATCATATTAAGTATGCATTTATCAATGGTGACCATGGAATTATTCATATACTTGATTTATATATTTATGTAACAAACAGAGCTGCCACCTTTTCTGCTTTTAGCAGAAAATTTCTGCTTTTTAGAGTTTTTTCTGCTTTTTTTCTGTCGTTTCTGCTTTTTGAAGATTTTTCTGCTTTTTTTTAATATCGTGTTATTTATATTTTTAACCAAAATTTTTTTATCTAGAAGTTTTTTTTTCATAATTATAGAAAAATTCTTATCAACAGATACTGATAGTCTTGTTTTATTCTAATTCTTTTAATTTTACAAAAATGATATGTATGTTTTACTGGCTACAAATAAATAGCAATGTATATTTTTGGTTTTTTAATCTTTTCTCAATTTATGTTTCTCTTTCTATTGTATTTTGTATTAGCCATCTATTCTATACAAACCAACATATACATTCTTTTGTATGTTGGGTTGATAAACATAAATAATTAATATGATTAGTAATGATACAGGTATAGAGAAACGAGTTGAATATGATAATGACAGCAGGATTACTAAAGAAAATAATATCAAAATACTAGTAGTTGCTGAACAAATGCTCATGTCTTCAGAAGTTGAACCAAAAAAAGGAAATCGAAGCAAAGCGTGTTTCATAAAGAACGACTTAAACTCGTCGCATATCAAAGAGTTTTAAAAGAATATAAATAACACTCATCTCAGGCAACATGTATTGTTTGTAATCAACAATTTTCTGTACATTACTGAGCGAAAGCTGATAATGACAATCATATAAATACTTAGAAACACAAAAAGCACATGAAGTCTTATGCTTTTAGCCAACAGTTATTTGAAACTCCTCCTCATCACGTGCTGAAATGTATAAATATTTATTAGGTAATCAATATTCATTAAAGCTCCTCCTCAAAAAAGTCCATTTTCGTCAAAAATGTCAAAAAATAGGTAAATGCATGAAAAGATAGCCTGTAGTGTGGTTTTTCAAAAAAAGTATGGTTTTTAATTTAATACTTTCATTTTTGCTCGAAATTAATCATGATTTTCATTATCTTCTGCATAAAAAATAGAGTTTTTTGGAAACAACAGAAGATCTTTTTCACTTTTTCTTAGTTCATCTTGTCTCAAACACACAGGCGAGAATTCTCCTTTCATGCTAACATAATCCCTCTAACTTTTTTTTTATTGGAAGACCATGTGAAAATGAAGTGCATCAAAGAGTCTTTTTTTTTTTTGAGATAAGCTTTTTTATTATCATATAAGAACATATGTCTATTGAAAAATATCGATTTTTTGTGAGCTTTTCGAATCATTAACTTGTGATTCTCTTTTTCGCTTGAAACGTAAGCATTTATAAAAAGGACTCTTTGGTGTTCTGCATTTTGACATGCTCTTTAAATAAAAAAAAATATGTTATACGCGCCTTGACAAATATTTTGTTTACCAAATATTGTATTTTTTGATCCTGGTTTGGTGAATATCTCAGTCAAACGTCATAGTATCGAATTGAAAAGTTTACCATAGCCTCTCTACTATGGTTTCAACCTATTCTGAAAATTTCAGCTAATTTGTATATGCGGGACTACGATCGATTTTTGAGGAGAAGACGGTCTTAAGCGCTATTAAATTAAATGAAAAATATACGTTCAAAATCAAATGTGTCCAATAAGCCTATTTATTTGTTACCTAATTATGTATCTTGATCTTGTACAATTCTATTTATTTGTTGATTAACTATTTTTCTTGATCCTGTACAACAAAGACGAAAACTAATTGTGAAAATTCTTAATTAGTGCACAGGAACAGAGCCTAAAAATAGCTTAAAATGCCAAACATACTTTCTGCTTTTTTTCTGCTTTCCGATGACAAAATTTCTGTCATTTTCTGCTTTTTATAAACTATTTTCTGCTTTTTGAACTTCAAAAGGTGGCAGCACTGGTAACAAAAGTGAAAGTAATAGAAAATACGATGAAGTAAAATTTACAAATTTCTTTTTTCAATTTTTTTTTAAATCTTTATTTTGAAAATAAATTATGCAAAAACAAGATTTGGCTTAGCACTTGAATAGAGAAATATCGCTGTAAATTACTTGTGGTTTCTTTTAAATAGTTTCAATTATCTGTTTTGAAAAATGATGAAAATTGGTTTGAAAAGTTTCTTATTGTTTAGCTGAACTACGATAAGATGTTAGTAGACAATTTCAAATTGCAATCTTATTAGGGGATGTTGAAGAACGTATTAAATTTCTTAGACAATGCAATCAAAGTAATATTTTATGTTTTTTCTCTATGAGATTGATTTATGTTGTGTCTTTTTTTATACAATAGAATCATTTGATGAAAAAGTAATTTATTATGGATAAAAAAATACTCTCATGTTAATACTTCGTCCGAGAGGGTTTTAAAAAAAATTAAAGGAATTTAGGAAGTTTTATTTGTCGCTGTCTAATATCTTCAATCGAAAGTCTTGAAAACTAGTTATAGATTTTC